AATCTTTGAAAATCTACGCAATATATAAATTGATCTTATGCATTACGGGCGTTCAATTAAGTGCCGATAATATTTAGACGGTATATTCATTATACAGAACTAGGAAGGAGCTAGACCGCCTAGACAGGGGAATTATTATAATCCTAGACAGTGCAGTCAAGTGTGTAAACATTTCAGACGTAAATATTGAGTCGAATATCTTGATTCTACGGTATTCTCATTATACAGAGGTACAGTACGTAGGCAGAAGCGAGACAGTGTTGTTTTCAAGTATATAAAGATTTCAGACGTGAATATTGAGTAAATCTTTGAAAATCTACACAATATATAAATTGATCTTATGCATTACGGGCGTTCAATTTAATAAGTGCCGATAATATTTAGACGGTATATTCATTATACAGAGCTAGAAAGGAGCTAGACCGCCTAGACAGTGCAGTTAAGTGTATAAACATTTCAGACGTAAATATTGAGTCGAAAATCTTGCTTCTAGGCATTCAATTGAGTGCCGATCTTATTTTTTCACGGCATACTCATTATACAGAGGTACAGTACGTGCAGGCAGAAGCGAGACAGTGTTGTTTTCAAGTATATAAACATTTCAGACATGAATATTGAGAAAATCTTTGAGATTCTACGCAATAATAGTAATACAATATATAAATTGATGTTATGCATTACCGTCGATATTATTTAGACCGTGTATTCATTATACATTCTCATTGACTGTATAAGGTGCTACATCACAGAATAAATGGCTATACTCAGTACAAAGAGCGAAAAATTGCATCAGATTTATATCAGATCAATAAAGCATAAACAACTATTAAACAGAAGCGGGTAAACGTTTGTACGGCGTTTACGAAGAAAAAAACTTACGAGACTAAAGGAATCAGTTGAGTCAGAGCTCCTTGTATAAATAAGAAAGACGAGGAGATAGCCAACGTGTTTAGGTGTTATCGCCAACGTGCTATCGCTAATCGCTTAATTGGCTCGCCAACAAGCTTTATACAATAGAAGAAAAAAGCAAGGAGGTACATGTAGCCAACGTGTACATTCACGGACCTTGTCCTTGTCTTTGTTTACTGTCTAGTGTCTAGCACAGTGCAAACTCGTATTCAGTGCAACGATAACTCTACCAGATCTTACGAGAATCAATCTGTAGTATTCTGTACACAGAACTGTATCAAAGCTTGTCAAAAATGTTTTAAACACTGCTATAACTGTGAAACTATTGAAATCTAAAGTGATATTTTATATATTCAACACATGCGAAAAGCTGAAAATAGACACACGTCATACTGGGAAAAGTCAAAGGTCAATGAAACTTGTTATTGTGAAACATGTCACAATTAAGTTAAAATGCGGAAGCGGATGGAGCGGATCCACGGAACGGATATGCGGATAAAATACGGAACGGATGAGGATAAAATGCGTCTTTTAATGATGTAACGACGTAGTGCTTATTATTCATAACATATCTTATACAGCTATTTCAATTATAGTTTATTAGATAAATTTAGCATAGCAGTAGCCTCGTGGGGATGCTTTCAGCGACAGCTGCAAATGCAAATGAAAATTTAGAATATGCAAAATTTGGTTGTTGGTGACACAATAAATAGGTGAATTGCATCAGTTTCACAAGGCACGTTTCTGATGTGTTAGGCTTGTTTCAAACGTCACGCTACTCGTGTGCCGAGCGTATTAAAAGCAATAAATAATGAGATGAAATGCCTTTGGTAACTGTTTATTTCGTAGTGTAAGCCATCAAGCTTTTCTAGGTTGTCGGCGACCCTATATAGTTCTTGCAGTGTCTTTTTAAATTTGAAACTTCACACTATCCTTGGATCCCTAGTCTCTTTTTCGTCCGTACACAAGTGGAGTCGTCTCACTTCTCTCTTCATTTTGATAATATTTTGAGCCGAAAAGCCCCAAAATATTTTATTTTGAACGTTTTAAACTGGCGGCCGACAGAAGAATGTAGCGTACCATAAAATATAACTTTACTTGTGGGCCCGAGCTAAAGGGGAAACTTCCGGCGTTTAGGCCAATGAAAATTGATATCATGTTTCTCGTCCCCGCCCGCATGGGATTTATGTGCCGCACAAAAATTTTTCATTATTCATTATTTTTGAAAAATAGGCTTAAAAAACACCAAATTCATCTCCAGATCAAAGTCTTATTGCTGCATTCCGCAAGCGCAACTCAAATTGTATCTTTCTAAATATATTACTCGCCAGAATGCCTCTATTTTTCATGTCATCCCTTGTATGTAAAGAAATATACTGTAGTCTGTAGACTGTAGTGTAGGACGTATTAAATTAAAATGAATTATACACCAATTTTTAATACTTTAGATTTTTATGGGGGTTTTTACTGGGTCAAGGAAATTATTGACAAGCAGAATTCAAATCCAAAAAATAATGAAAAATGAAAAAATCCCGCCCCAAATTTTTGAAAATTGTGGACGAGAAACATGATATCAATTTTCATTGGCCGTATGGCCAGTCTTAATTTCCACACCAGGCTTAATATACGCACGTAAAACTTTAAATCTGTAAAATAACCAAATAAATAAAGCAACAGAATTTACTGCTCCGCAAGTTTTAGTATGAATTTGTTAACTTATTTGTAAAATATTTGAAAATAGAAGGATTCAAAGTTTTACGTGCGTGTAGCCGTGTATACGTGCGTACGAAAAACGCAACAGTGGAAATCAGCCTTTAAAGGCCTGATTCCACGGGCGCTTTTTCTTGGCGAAATGCGAAATATTTCGCCTGTTTCTTTTGAATTGTTAGCAATCAAGTAGAACTAATTTATTCGAGTAGTCGCAATTCAAAAGAAACAGGCGAAATAATTCGCATTTCGCCGAGAACAAGCGTTCGTGGAATCAGGCCTTTAGATCTTAACAGTAATGTGCGTCAGTTGTGTAGCCCCAGCGAGTTAACGCTCCACAGAGCGTCTTGTTTAGTTATTATATGCATGACAAACTCGCTTTCTTTAAAATTCAACTGCATTTTGTCAAGAGTTTTTAATTCTTTTGTACATAAGACACATAAGTCATAACTTAAACTAGAACACATGATTCAAATTCAAACAACATATATATTTTTGAGTACAAAAATCTTTATAAATTGTATTACAGACTTAGGCTACATAGTCACGTTTCGGCTGCATCCCGGCGAGAATATTATTTCTTAAAACTGTTTCCAGGTATTTTCCACAGGCAGGTATGTTTCTTAAACTCATTCTTGACCATTCTTGTGCCAAAATATAGTTAAATTCGTCCACGTTTGTTATTTATACAAGATAAATTTCGCCGCCATACTGGATTTTTGTTGTTTTGATTTCCCGCTCCCCTCCAGACATCACGAAAATCATTAATTGCACTCCCAATCTCGTACCCAGAGCCATCGTTTGGAGGGTGCAATTAATGAAATAATTGCACTCCTCTTAACCAATCAGATTGCAGTAATTTTGTCATGTATATAATAGTATTTATTTATTATTTCGGACCTTTATCGTGAACCTTGAAATTGTATCAATATAAATGGCACCCTGATATTTTAATTATCTGTTGTCTTTAGTTTCACATCTAAATGTTCAACCTTTACTCGCGAAACCATTTAAAGTGGAATGTGCGGAAGATCCGGAGTATACTTCATCTGTTGTTATAACAATGTATGTATAGTAAAGAATATTTCACTTCCAATTTCCATTTTATTTGAAGCTTAAAGCTCTTTTGTTGCCTGTTTTTACATCAGCGTAGTTTGGAACCTTATCGTTTTACCGCTTAAGCGCAACCATGTTTGGTGAAAAATAAGAAAATCTGGCCTTATGTGGCACTTACTGATATTTGTTACGTCTTTCATTGGTTTGACTGCTAAACATGCTAGCTACTTGCCCTACTGAATACAGATTTCGTTAAGCGACCCAAAGCAAACTGAGATTTTGTCCCTAACTAATTCACCAACGAGGAAGTGATATCTAATTTAATTTAATTTAATTTTTGAGCACATGCAATTTCAGCTCCGTAACGTTAATTCCCGTATTTTTAGCGTATTCTGCGGATTTTTGATCGGAATATGCCTTCTTGCAACGGCTGTTGAAATTTTCCTTAATTCATATACGCGTCGTGATTCTGCGGAAATCGTTGAAAATGGTAGTGAAATTTCAATGGACAAAAACATTGACGAAATTACGCCATTACTGCCTAATGGTCCAGATGAAGTGAAAACTACATTAAAAGATAAAACGAGAGGTTAGTTTGAGTGATAAATGTCATTATATTTAACAAATATAAAACATTTTCCGTGTTGATATACAGTTATATCAACACGAGTGGAATTAGGAAAACGAGAAATTGTATGGAAACACCACGCCCGAAGGGCGGAGTGTTTTCATACAATTTCGAGTTTTTCCAACTTCCACGAGTGTTGATATAACTATATATCAATACGGAAAAAAATGTTTTATATTTTTTTATAATATAGCGATGTCAAAAGCCCGAAGGATAAGAAAAATTTGCGTGTTTAGAAGCGGCGGAAATTTCCCGTGTTGACATTGAGTTATATCAACACGGCTCTTAGCCAATCAGCATTTGTAAATTCTGAACGCTGATTGGCTAAGAGCCGTGTTGATATAACTCAATGTCAACACGGGAAATTTTCCGCCGCTTGTAAACACGGAAATTTTTCTTATCCTTCGGGCTATATTATAAAAAAATATAAAACATTTTTTCCGTATTGATATATACACTCGTTCTTGTAACCAAATGATTAATTCTATATCATATTGAAAGCACCAAATGGTGGAAATTTTGAGATTAATTTTCGATGTTAAAAAGCCTATAAATTATAGTGTTAGTAAAACGTTCTATAACTATAGCTGCCAACAACGTATATCGTGCGCGTGATATCAGAGGGTCCTGAAGGGGCGGGGGGGGGGTCCCAATCCCATTTCCCACCTGAAATTTTGGCAAAATCCCAGTCCCAGTTGGATTTTTATTAGAAAACCCAGTCCGAGTTATTGAAATCCCAGTCAATAAAAAAAAGTTATTTATTGGTAGAATAAACAGTTTTAAGATCTTTTAAGCCGCCGTGTGTGCGCACCGTGTGGCAGAAGCGGTTGTGCTTTGCCTTTGAGGTATATACTAAGGGTTAAATGAAGTATGTATAAGTATGATGACAAAGTAAATAAATAAACCAGGCATATACTCCGCTGTGCATCTGACTTGGGGACAGGCATAATCAGAAAACTCAGAATTCCTGGCGCCAGAGTATGCCTGTTCGCAGGCAGTGCTGTGAATAATGTAGTTAACAACAAAAACGGATCAAAATTGTATTTTAAAATACTCAAAACGTGGAAAAATTGGGAATCGACTCGCATTACCTCAATCCCATCCCCATTTTTGAGGACTTCATTTCCCATTCCCAGTGACCAAATCCCAGTCCCAGCAACCCAAATCCCATTTTCCCAGTCTAAAAATAGATCAATCCCAGTTCCCATTTTACCCCTTCAGGACCCTCATATCATTAATAACAAAAAATAAACAAGGTTGCCGATTAAACGGAACAACAATATGCTGACACACGATATAACAGTTTACCGATATTTACATATTAAATGTTTTATTACTTTCCATCGTGAATAAATAATTTGCTAGCTTTGCATGTCATACAAAATACCAGCATTACTTGACTTCTATATGTATATAAATGACTACCAATTAACAAATATAAAACATTTTCCGTGTTGATATACAGTTATATCAACACGAGTGGAATTAGGAAAACGAGAAATTGTATGGAAACACGACGCCCGAAGGGCGGATGGTTTTCATACAATTTCGAGTTTTCCCAACTTCCACGAGTGTTGATATAACTATATATCAATACGGAAAAAATGTTTTATATTTTTTTATAATAAAGCCCGAAGGATAAGAAAAATTTCCGTGTTTACAAGAAACGGAAAATTTCCCGTGTTGACATTGAGTTATATCAACACGGCTCTTAGCCAATCAGCGTTCAGAATTTACAAATGCTATATTATATTATAATATAGCATTTGTAAATTCTGAACGCTGATTGGCTAAGAGCCGTGTTGATATAACTCAATGTCAACACGGGAAATTTCCGCCGCTTCTAAACACGGAAACTTTTCTTATCCTTCGGGCTTTTGACATCGCTATATTATAAAAAAAATATAAAACATTTTTTCCGTATTGATATATAGTTATATCAACACTCGTGGAAGTTGGGAAAACTCGAAATTGTATGAAAACCATCCGCCCTTCGGGCGTCGTGTTTCCATACAATTTCTCGT